ATTTCAGTTCCTGGTCTCCTTCCTGCCTTAATTATCAAGATGCAGCTTTCCTTGAAGTGCTTGCATCTCCTCACAGCAATGGAAAGTGAATTAGTTTTTGGACTGCTTGTTTGCTGCAGACTCCCCAACTGCAAAGTCTGCCCAGCAGGATACTGCATTGAGTGTCGAGCTGAGCAGGGTGTTAATGCAGCCCTTCTAGAGGCAAAAAAAGCATTTGGGAGAGGTGGTGGTGCTTCTATGGAAGAGGCTTTCCTGCTCAGACACAGGGCAGGGCAGCTCTGACCAGGACAGTTTGCATCTTGCCACCTAGGACCATGAAACCAAGGCAGATGCTCAAAATCCAAAGAAAATTACCACAAACCTGAGCATGAACCCATCCTACAAACCTTCTAAGGCTGTGAAAGGGGCGGATCTACTCATCACAATGAGCATCCCAAATGTCAGCATGGACTCCCAGGGAGCTGGGGAAAATTTCAGGTGGCCTATGGTTAGTGTTTCAGTAACTGAAAAGCTGAAGTTGTGCTTTTTTGTTCCTTTCTGCTTCCTGTTAAAACGTTTCTGTTTGATGGCATAATTCTACAGTTTCAGCTAAAAGGCAATTCTTCTTCCAGATGTAAAACAGTAATTTGATGGTGAATTAGCATTCAGTAGATTATTAGTATAATTTAATATTTTATCCTTCAGCACAAGTATTCTAGTACCATGCTACATACTTTATAGTCTCATATATGAAGTACACTGTCTGCATATAGAAAGGAAAACAGGAGACAAAAGACAAATATTCGTTTGAGAAGAATTTTGTCATTTTGTGACTCCTCCTGAGGGTCAGTCTCTGGATCTCAAAGAGTGATGAGCTCCTCTGGATTGTTCGTCAAAGCTGAATCAGTGTCACGTCCCTGAGTGAATTCTGTATTCACTGTTCATGCTTCTGCAGGGGGGGAAAAAAAAAACAAACAAAAAAAAACAAACCCCAAAGGGGAGTCTTAAAGAATAATTAAGAATTATTATGAGTTGTTGATTTTTTCACTCAAAAATGTTCCCTGTGATTAGTGTTTAACCAGATGAACAAACCTCTCCTGGACACAGGAGATCAGCTGTTGATGCCAGGCAAAAAAAAAAAGTGAGAGACTTTCAGATTATAAGTAGCTGCAACTTTTTGCATTTTACAGGATCCGTATGGGAAATGTATGCACAAGACTGTACTTGGGCATCTGGGTATTTTACAGAACATTTTACTTTATCTGACTGCATTTATTGTTGACTTCATCTGCAGATGTTTAAGCAAAAGTTGGATTCAGCTTCCTCACCTGAGCGAGCACTCGTATCTGTGGACCAAAGCCTATCACCACAGACTGATTTCTCTCAGTTCCTTATCCAAAGGCATGTTTTGTGCATTTCATTCAGGAATTTTGGGACATCTCCATCATCACCTGCATGTCTGGCTGCTTCTGTACGTGCTGCCTTGACCAGCTACTCTTCTGAGTGTCACTAGGAGTCATTTTGGGTCCAAGTACAGAGGAGATGGGAGTTCTTGTGCTCCCAGCCACTGCATTTAGGAGCATACAGGAGAGAGCTGTGCTTGGGAATGGACTTAGGCACAGTGTGCTCTGTCAGCGTTACAGTCCACTGATGTGTTCTCAAATCCGATTGCAGGCTGGTCCATTCTGGCCCCGGAAAAGGCTCCCCCCAGTCGGGGGTGGATTTGTCTTTTGCAACCCGCACTGGTACAAGGCAAGGGATTGAAACCCACCTGTTCAGGACGGAGACGAGCCGAGAGCTCTCCCTGTGGACGAGGAGCATAGTGCAGGGCTGTCACAACTCCGCGGAGCTCATCACGGAAATCACCACCTGTGAGTAGGGCCCGCAGGGCCACATCTCTCCTGACGCTGTGGGCAGCTCAAGCTCCTTCTGCTGGAGGCGATTAATTAAAAAAAATAAAAAAAATAACATATTCAGGGTTCTATGTGTTTAAAATATTTTCCCCTTACTTTCTGATCCAGTCCCAGCTGGTGTGGTACCTGTGGCCAGTGACACAGTCACTGTAATTCTGACCTTTGGTCTTGTTTTCAACATATTGTTTCAGGCACAAGCTTGTAGTTAGCCATACAGGGCTACGTGTCACAGAGGAACAATTGTCAGAGGTCTGTCCAGAAACACAGAAAAGAGCATTTTTTTCTGAGGTTCAGGAATCTCCTGTGAGCTTGGTGGGAGCTTCTCCTGCAGAGGGAAGAGGCAAAGGAGGACCAGCACCTTCACAAGCATGAATTGGTCATTTATTCAACAAGCTCTGCACACTTGAGTAAAAAAAATCAGACCAGTCCAATAGCCAAATGTTGATAGCTAGTCATTTCCTTCTCTGGACATCAAGGTGTCACTTCTCAGCACTTCTGTACATGCAGAATCAACTGGAATAAAAGCACTCGGCTGCAAATGCCCTGGAGTGATGCCCTGTTTGTTCAGGTGGCTGCTGGCTTAGGGTCACTCTGGGCCTTTGAGGCTGTGTTTCTCTCGAGTGCCCCCAGGATTTGGGGGTCCTTCCCTTGATAGCCCTACAGTTGGCAAGGCTGTTAAAGTTCAACATTATCTCTACTTACTGCCTAAAAATGTGAGAGCAAGAGCCAAAGCATAAATCTGCTCCATGACAAAGGGCAGCTCGGATTTTGTGAAGCCATCTGGTACAGCCACATGCTGCTGAGCACAGATACAGCTGCCTGTAGGCTCACAGGGAGCTCAGCCTGCTTTGTGAGAGCCTCTGACATGGAAACCAACCAGAGTGGTGAGTGGGAGTCACCTCAAGTGCATGTCTATCTCCTCAGCCCAGTGATGTGGATGCCTTGCTTTCTGAAAGCAAGAGGAGGGCATCGGCCCCTTCTTTTACCATGGTGTTCTTATCTCAGTGCCAAGGACCCTTCTTGGCAGAATTGTTCACAGGGAAGTGGTGGAGAAGAGAATTTGGGATGTGAATACCTAAACTTTTTAAAATTTGGATCAGAGCCTATGTTTCTGACCCAAGGGGAAGATGCAGACTTTCTGCTGCAGTAGCTATTACACACAATTATCTGGGCCCTTTTTCAATTACCATGACACTAATGAGGACTCAGGAGTGTCTTCATCTTTGTGAAAATACTTTAGGGAAACCCTTTAGAGCTTCTAATTTTCTCATGCGTTGTGCACAGCATTTATTGATTTTGGCTATGGCTGTCAGACATGAGAAGAGTGGCTGTGACTTTGTCAAGTTTTGGAAGGAGGAAATGCCAGCCTGAGCCTTCTTAAACTTCAGTAGGTGGTGGTTGTGTCAAGGTGCAGACGTACGCTGCAACGTGAAGAATGCAGCGAGTAACTGAAAGGGCTGACATCAGTTCTGGTACTGCTGAGCACAGTTTTAGTCTGTGTTTACACCATAACTAACAAATCTTGCTTTGGACCTTGGACAACAGAAAGACTTCTGTTGTTTTTCCAAGTCATCAGGCTCCAACTATAAACCTGCATAGTCCAGTTTTAGGATGAGTTAATTTCCACAAGATAGGGTTAAGACCAGGTGTAAAAATGCAGATATCTGCAGCCAAATGGGATTTGCTGCTTTTAAGAATATTACAGACTAAATTTTGCTTTCTTCTTCAGCGTGCACATATAAAAGCCAGGAGTGCCGTTTGACCATCCATTACGAACATGGATTCTCTCTTACAACTGACCCACAAGATGGTGCCTTCTCTAAGACAATTGCACAATATCCCTACGAAAAACTGAAAATGTCCTCAGACGATGGGATAAGGATGCTTTATTTAGACTTTGGAGGAAAGGATGGAGAAATTGTAAGTACTGCTTATAGCAAAGGGATGCACATTACCATCTCTCTGGTGGTCCTTCAGGCTCTGGGGGTGGACAAGCTGGACTAGATGATTGTTGTAGGTCCCTTCCTACTGAAATGATCTATTCTATTCAACAACTGGCCAGTACGAGGTTCCAGAAACAGTATTTAGATACTATGCTTTTTACTGTAGCATGAAGAAGATAAACTAAAAAGAGAGATAAAATGCTAAAACTATGCAAAGAGGGATGAAAGTTTTCTTACATTTAAGAACCATTTGTAACTCTAAATAGCCAAATGTTAGAATTTTTGTACATATCCGTTTCACTTTTTAATGATTACAGGTGGAGGAAATGAAGAATGAGATATTACTAATTCCAGTGTACACATAAGGATTTTGTTATGAAAACAAATGTGGTTTAGATATTTTTGAACATAAGAGTTGCTGAAAAAAAATTGAAGACTACAGATGTGGTGCAAGTTGTCTGCTTAGGCCTCTAAATTAGCTGTCAGAATGCATAAAAATAAGATGCTTATTCCTATGAGCAGTTTAGATACCATAAATTATGGATGTAAACATGGTTTCCCCTGCCAGAATTTTTCAGCAGTTCCTGAGCATGTTGGGTGCTTAATTCTTCACATCACCTTTGGTAACATACTCTGAGAACTGCTTATTGTCAGGCTTTCAGCAAGGGAATTTGTTACCAGCTCTCAGTACAGTTGCTACATGACTGGTGGAAAAGCAAATCTGCTTTGTTTTGATGTGAACCTACTACTGAACCTGCTGTCCACACTGATGAGTCTGTCATGCTTAGCAAGCATGTGGTGAGATCATCTAACTGTGACTATTGCAAAAAAGTCTCAGTTCAATCTCACTGAGCAGAGGAGCAACCATGTGGGATCAGCTGAAGATGCAGCATCCTGCCTTCAGCTGTGACCAACAGCGGGTGCATTGGATGTTGGACAGTCCCACCACCATCCCTGGTCAGAAACACAGTCTGAAAAGATGGAGAGGTTGGATGTCATCTTGGAAGGCTGCTTGCAGCATCTGACACAGTTTTCTGCTGCTTACCCAGGTGGACACAAGCTCAGAGGCATGTGGATCTCATCTGCTCTCAAGATGTTTAGGTTACTGAAAGGAAGGAATAAGCATTTGCAGCTGCATGCAAAGGCAAGACAGTATGTCGTAATAAAGGGCTGTTATTAATAGAAACATGTTGAAAATACCAGGCAGCAGTTAATCAAGTACTCCATAAATAATTGCTTATTTGAGCTGTAATCTAATCATTCTCTACTTGATTTCTTGCAGCAACTGGACCTTCATTCCTGTCCAAAACCAATTGTGTTCATCATTCATTCCTTCCTGTCTGCAAAGATCACAAGGCTGGGCTTGGTGGCATAAGTGGGGTACATCTCTTTCTTCAAAGACGGAGCAACCATGCTAATCTGAAGTTCAGTCAACAGCAGCAACCTGTACCAGCTAGCAGGGTACACCAGCTTGGGGTTCAGGACTGGGCCTTGGGCATTTCTGCTGTCTTCCAAGGCTCAGGTTTCATTTTGATCAGCTAAAGAGGTGGCACAATGAGGAAACCGGTGGATTTTATTTTAAGTAATGGGATTTTTAAATCCCATGTGAGACAGTAAAAGTGAGCTATCCCATACATGTAAATGTTTCAGAATCATCAATTGTGCCTATTGCAATGTCCTTGTTTATAGAGAATAAGTAAAGGGCTAAGCAGATGAAAGTGGGTGTCAGTTGTGATGCAGGATCAAGATTGTTTGAGTAGAAGTTCTCCAAACAAGATTACCCCACCGCCCAAAAGTAAAGTATTTTTTCTGTTCTAACCTGAGCGCCATTTGCAGATTTTTCTTTTGGAGCACTGTCAGAACCTGTTGTTTGAATACCCAGCAGAGTGTGCAAACGTGCACCTTTGAGTTGGGTGCTCTAAAGCAATACAGCTGTGGTCAGTGAACAGCTGGAGGGTCCTTGTCAAGGAAGACTTTCAGAATAAATAATGCAAGACATCTTGCACGTGTTCCTGGTGATGGACCCAAAGCAAGACTCGCTCTAGCCACGTATGAGAGCCAGCTGCCAGTGGGGCATAGGTAGGAGCATCCTTTGTTAATGAATGCACTTTTGTAGTGACTTCTCAGAATGGCTTAATGAGCTTCAGCTAGCTAGGAGTCCCTCCTCAGGTAAAACTTACCTGAATCCATGTGGAAGCATGACCTAAGCTTCTGCCAGCACATTTCCACCACAATTTTCCAACAATGCCATGCTGAGCTTTCTGTCCTCCTACCCCTACCTTATCACCCCCTCAGCTCTGCTGAGGCTGGTTGTGTGGTCTTTGTAGAAGAACTATTGTGGGGAAGGAGGAAAACTTGATTTTTTTTTTTTTGAGTTTGAGTTTAGATCAGAAAGGTTATTCAAGCAGCTTTACAACAGTGAAGAAAGGCACCAGGGCAGGAACCTGAACTGCCAGAAAAGCCTTAAGATGGAAGGAGCTGCTCCTACAAGCATGACTTGTCATCTCCAGATTTATTCCTTCCTGGTGCAATGTGAGAAGTTTACCTCTGTACCCATAATTTACTAGTTCCAGTTCTCTACCAGCTCCCTGTTTTAAGTCAAAACACTCGGGTCACTGAGTTTCAGCCTTGTTCATGGTTATGTTGGGCACAAAGTGGGCAGTGGGCAGGAACGCTGACCTGCACTGTCAGAGGTCATACACACAGCTTCCACCTGGAACTACTGAACTGGCCTAATGTAAACAGAAAGAAGCAGAACAAGGCTGGCATTTATGCTGTCCTTACTGTAAACAGAACTCCTTCACATAGGGGTGGGGTTTTGTTTGCTTTTAGAGTTCTTCCCTAAATTCACACTTTGAAGGACAAGAACTGTACAGGAAGTAATAAATCCAAAGTCTGTAGAAGTCTGCTTGTCATGCTACAACACTTCTTTTATTCTTGAGAGAGTACTTAAGTTTCAACCCTGCATCACTTGGCTGGCAAAGAGGAAAATGAAAAACACAGTTTGGTTCCATGTTGTTTTTAAGCTAAAAGAATTAAGCATAAGTCATGCTGTTTATTCACACCGTAGGAGTTAGTTCATGGTGGCATCTTAATAATTGAAACTAATTAAAAAATTAAGATGATGGGCTGAATTCACAACTACAGAAAATAATCATTGAAGAACAACAGGCACATCACCATTTGGAAGAGCAGCCCCATGCCCAGCACCTCTCACCAGTCCAAAGCAAGTCTAGGAGGGGGTTCACCTCACTGTGAACTTTCCTTTACTGTCACGGTACTTGCACTTAAAACTTAATTCCTCGGGTAAATTCATGAGGTAGGAGAAAACATGTTACAGAACTTACCAACAATTTTACAAGTGGACATTTCTCATTTAGCGACTGCTGCCATTTACAGAACTTTGTGTGGTGGTTACTTGGGTCTCCTTTGGTTTGGAAGCTTCTAGGAGAAGGTTGTGAGAAGCTGAGTGCTGTCGGTACGCCGGGGGTCTGAGTCCTTGGGTATGAACGCGCATCCCGCGGCCGAGTGAACACTTCTGTCAAGGTTCTAAAAGGCAATTCAGGACATTTTTCTTGTTGTTCCAAAGCATAACTTAACTACGTTTGGACAGAGGCTCCTACAAAAGTTCCAGAGGTTAAAGCGAAAACTTGCATACTGTGGGGTAGGTTAATTACATATGTAAAGTATACTGCACTATTTCCTTGTTCCTTTAACACTTACAAATCACTGGAATGTTATACTTAACATATATGTGCATTGTAAATATTACAAATTCCAATATTAGTGCCAACAATTAAATGACACAATATGTAATCTAAGGTGCTCAGTACTATATGAAGTATAAATGAATAACTAAACAGTTTGCAAAGAAAATTCATATTATATATATTTATAGAAAAATATAATGATAATTACAGATGCTATTTCCTCATTTTCAGATTTTGGACTGATTCATATTTGGATGGGATAGAAAAATGACCTACTCCACATTTGTAAGAGTATAGTGAATATTTATATTTTAGAGGAAAAAAAATATATTTAATAAAGTCATTTATTGGATTTTTGTGAGGTGAGCTTACTTTGTATCTAAATAAGCTGTTTGGAAGGCTGTCCTTTGGTTTTGGGCTGGGGAAAAAGTAATTTTAAACCTCAGTCAGTTATTTGAGAGGACTGTTCATCGTATCAACAGAATGACTTAAAAATTTAAAATTAAAGAGAAGTATTAATGTACTGTCACCGCTGCACTGGTGCTTTCTATCAAGTAAGCTTGGTGTTGATGTGATAGTGGTGCTGTTGATGACAGGCTGAAAGCACAAGCAGCATTATTTTTTTGCTGCTGGCAGATGCTTGCTGAAGTTACAATGCTTTCTCTGTTAACTGGGCAGTTACAAAAGTCATAAAAAAACAGAACAAACTGCTGCTCGAGCTTCCGCATTCAAGGAGCGAGGCCGACATGTGCCTTGCTGAATTCTTAAGAATGGTTATGGGGGAAAAAAAAAAGATGTTTTTCCTTCCCTTCTACTTTAATTCTTAACTTAGTGGCCCAACTAGAAAAGCAAACTGCAGGACTTTAAGTCTGTTCTTTCAGTCTGGCCTGAGATAAGACAGAGCAGCCTCATGGAGATCCTAGAAAGGGGTATTCTAGTGTTAGACTTCTTTCACAAAATAGACTGTAAATTGAATGGTCTGATGACAAATTCTGTATAGCAGCTTCGCCATTAGAAAGATACATATTGGAACTTACACATTACTGGAAAAATGTGATACAAGGTATGTGTTAAAGAAAAAAGAAAAGAAAGCTGATGTGATTCAGTTCAGGGGAGCACACTGGTGTTTCCTGAGTTTTGCTCTTTCAGTGGAACTAGCATAATGTACTTTATAAATCAGAACATAACTCTCCATGCACTGCCAAGTAAATCGCTACCATGAACATTGTTGGACTTGCTCTTCTCCCAATAACAAAGCAAGTACCTCCTCCTTCTGCAGCAGGTAAGTACTGCTTCTTCTCACGGGACGTGGGATGACATGCTATCCAGCTCCTTGCACTCGGAAGCGCAGCTGATCTGAAATAAAGGTTGATCTGATTTCCATCTCCAAGACTTCTCAATGTCCTCTTACCTTTGTTTAAAAGTTCACTGGAGCTTCTTTGGTTTCAGTGGAAGCAGAATCAGAGCCTAAACAAACAATGTGCTCCAGACTGTTATACTATCATGGCTCTTATTTTTCTTAAGAATCAAACTGGCTGGTTACTGGGGCTATTTACTCTCTCTCTAAACACACACCCATTTTATTACCATAGACTATATATATGTATATATAACTATATACACACAATTACTGTATACACTACTACTATGAATTGTAGCTAAAATGGACACTTGAATTCAGTGGTAACTTTGATTTTAAAGAGCAGATAATAATATACTAGCAGATTTGGAAAAACTCAGCCTACTTGATATAAGTGAACCCTTTGATTAACAAGGGCAAAAGTTTGGTTTAAAAGCACGAGAGGAAAAACATTAAATGCTTAAGCAGCAAAGGTAACAACCTCTCGTGAACATAGCAGCACTTTTTCCATATAGGATTAGCTTTTCAGTTTGTTTTTGTCAGAATTTCTGTGCTTCTGTAAAAAAATTAGAGTCATTAGAAAACAATTCCCAAGGGAAAGCTGGAATGCTTGTGAATTTGGAAAAACATCTGTACCCAACTTAAGTTCTGTTGTAGCCCAGTGGTACTCATCATGCAATTCCTGTAATACTAGAATAATCATCTCACCAAGTAGTCACAACCACATCAATGTTGTTTTACCTCAGTTGTGTATAAGGGCATAACATGAATCATGGGTAGACCATGAATGTATATTGGTATGACTTACACCCTGACTTGCAAAAACAAGAAAGCAAGAGCTCAAGCCTTCTACAGTAAAGTATGAATACTGCAGACTGGATTTTGGGCTCACCAGCCACAATAAAAGAAAATAAGGTGAAGTTTAGAGGCAGAGTAACTTACATGACACAGAAAGCAATGTCGCAACACGTTAGCTGAGCTGTGGCAATTTAGCGTGGGGGTTTTGGCTATGACAGATGATAGAAGATAATTTGGTTTAGCATTGTTACAGTAGACCACGTCAAATTATTGCATGCTTTTTTGGGGGTTAAGAGCACGCACAAGCCCAGTTACCACAACTCAACTGGGACACTGTTTTTAGGCCATGATAATACACTAGCTGTCACTTACCTTAAAAAAACCCTCAAGACAACAACAAAGTGCAAATGAGCTGGGCAGCACTGTATTAGTTCAGCACTGGGAATCATGCAAACAAACAATACATCAAAACACGTTTCCCTTACTACTTTTCTGCCTATTATTTCAGGCCAGCCTTTGAGTCTACAG